ACTGGGTGTCATATGTAAGATATGAATCACTGGGTTCTACTCCTGAAGCCAGACTACACTGACTTCAAGTTACTACATACTAACTTGAATTTAAATAGAAAAAAAACCATGGTATCCTTGGAATGAAAAAAAAAATACCACTTTTTCCAGTAGGGAAAATTAATTCAACAAGATATGTACCAAGTGATGGGCCAGTAAAACAGTTTTCTCAAGAGGTTCTCACAGAAACAAGTGCCTCATTACATTATTTTTCAAAATCATCTGAAAATTATTAATTATTAATACACTGAAATTATTAATTTTTAATCTCAAACTATTAACCTATTTTTATTCAAATGTGTTTACATTTCAAACAAAAATGCAGAGTTCTTAATTATTTCAGTTAGCTTTTCAATCAAGATTATTATTTTGAAATGATAGGCTTTTATTAATTTATAGTGAAAAGTTCATTCTATATATATGAATGGAGCTATTATATAACATGATTTTTAAAAATAATTTAAAAACTATTTCTTTGATAGAATCACATAAAAGTCTTTCTAAAAGCAAGTTTTTCTGGCTTAACAAAGATTCTTTTATTTCTATAGAGAGAAAGGAAACTGTAATTCAGTGGTTCTTAAAGTGGGGTCCCTGGACCAGTGGCATCTGCATCACATGGAAACTTCCCAGAAATGCAAGTTATTGGGAACAACTACAGAGATTCTAAATTAGAAATTGCAGGGTGGGACCCAGCAGTCTGTGTTCCAGCAAGCCTTCCAGGCGGCTCTGCTGCTCTGAAATTGGAGAAGCCCTGCAGGAGAGGCTGCCTGGTCTCAGGCCATGCAGTACGACTGGAACGTGTTTGGCAGTGTGCTTTAGGTAGCTGGTTGTAAATTGCTGCTACCCTTCTAATAAACGCTCATACACCGTTTTCTAGTCTGTTTGAATAGCTGGGTGATTTTCAACTATTCAAAACAGTACATATTGCAAAAGCAACTTGGCTAGGTTGTGCGAGTAATATTGTAAAGTGACATAAAGTGCTTAGTATGTTTGTGTGTATATGTGCTATGTGTGCTATGCCTCACACATAGGACGCATTATTTTAATGTAGATAATTAGTATTCAAATTATTAGTCTTAGTTCGCTTTCCCTTTCTGCATAGCAGAATAAATAAACAAAAAAAAACTCATAAAATATCATACTTATTATATACTCATAGACATCTAAACCCAAGAGGAGCTTTAGAAGTTACCCTAGTTCAAGCCCCTTGTCTTATGGATGAGAGAAAACTGAAGCCCAGGGAAGCTGGGTTACAGGTGGAAGGTCCCTTATAGGAAGGCAAAGATCAGAAGCCAGGGCTCTCAACTCCTAGACAACCCTTTTACAGAGGAAGCCATCCTTGTTGTGTTCACTACAACAGCAGTGCATGCTCTGGAATTTTCTCCATTGGCATTACTAATTATTTTCCAGTACTGATCTCTCCATCCTTACCCCCTCATATAAGAAGTAACATTATTATTCAAAATTGCAAAGCTATTAGGTTAAAAACCTTCTGGATTACATAAGCCTAGATATACATAAATAGAAAATCAATGTAAAAAATACATGCAAAAGCCACAGACTTGTACATTTAGTGAAATCTTAAATATGCTAGATATGTACAAATTCAAGTTTTTTGTGTACATGTAATCACTTTTTATTTTGTGTTGTGCACTAATGTATATATACATGCAAGAAACCAACGCTCACCAATTACTTTATTCTGAAGAATGTCTTTGAATTAACCTCACCTAGCATAATGGTAATATATGATCTTTGGAACTTCACTAATATGGGAAACAACTCATATAGAAGAGGGGGAAATTATGTGAGAATAAGAAGAAAAAAATCTATTTTAACTAGAAAGGCCTCTAGCAATGTATGGTTTCATTATTCACCTTTATCTTTATATCACCTCAAATATTCAATTTACATAGCATGAAAATTCAAGTTCTGAACCTTCTAGTTACAGCATAGTATAACTTGAATATATTCTCTCTGTTGTATATTCTTTTCTCCTATTGTATTTTTACATAACATATTCAAGCCTTTTTATTAGCAGTGACATTTCTTAGACTAATGGCATCCACTGATGTAGTACATTCTGCCCCTTCCAGAAATCTAGGCATTGTCAAGGTCAAAACTTCATATGGCATTTTCTACTTTACAGGACGTGAAAGTGTACTGTATCCATGCCGGGTATGAAGAGATAATTATCTGCTGTTGCACACACCTCCTTAATTGGCCTTCATATTAAGGCTTTAGCAGAGGAAGTGGAGGATCTGTGGCTTACATTGAAAAACTGTTACATTGCAAAGTGAGCACTGAATTAAAATCTCATCCTAATGCATCATTAGAGGAAAAGCCTGAGGTACTGAAAGAACTATGATTTTTCCACTTCCTAAGCGCTTAAAGAAGTTTTAGATTAATGGCGTTTGATGCTTTTAATGATGTCAAGGATGGAGTTTAAGTGCCTTATTAATTCCCTTGATTTGCTGCCAAATATTAAAGGCAATTCATGATTAGTGCGTTAATCTTTTCTGATTATGAAATCCATTATAGGAAGAAAAATATAAAATTCAGAAAAATAAAAATGCTTCATAAAAATATTAGAATATATTTATAAGAACAGAATGTTTGGACATGGGTTTAGAATTTCTCTGGAAGGATTTGTTACAAGACTGTAAGATTATCTTTGTGTATATTAATATTTAAGCCATTGCTTCATCCTGAAGTTGGACCTCATGTTTTTCATTTCTTAAACTCTTTTTAAACTTCCCAGCCACAGTCACAACACATGATGCGATGTAAACCTGAAGTGATTTGTTTAATCTTACTACCCTAATCAGCTAACAAGATCTCTGTCTTCTCAGATCTTGGAGCCTGGAAAAACCCGGTTATTAATTCCTTACTATCTCTTCCCGAAATTCTCTGGTTTGCTGACATGTTAATAAGATTCCAAGAATGTTCTAAAGAAAGCAAAATCACCACTAAAAATGACTGTGTCCTGAACTTACAAATTATTTCTTTCCTCCCTCTCCCTGAATTTATTTTCAACTAAAATAAATTCTGTCCTTGAACGTATGTACATAACTCCTTGGGCAGGCTATGTTCTCTTATTATCAAATTTAAATATAAAGGCTTAAAGACTGTTCTTAAACCTAATTCAAATTACCTTTGCCAGCATAACAAATACCCCAGGGTAGGTGTATTAAAAGCTCTAAAAAGATTCTGCTTTTACTTTGTAGCCAAATGGACGTGTTTTATTCAGGATCCCCAAACAAAATCCTTATTCAGCTCATTATATTACCTATGAAGGTGTGTCTTTCCTTCCTTCACTCCTTCACCCTTTCAGGCCCTTCTCTCTAGCTCCCTGTGTTTCTGGAGCTCCCCGCCTGCCTTAGGACTTCAATACATTGAGGAAACTACCTCTTCTACCTTCCCCAGACTAAAAGCAACACTTGATCCTCCTTCAGGTTCATCAGTTCTTTCCCAGAGAAAACATTCCTGACCCTTTGGAGTCATATAATGGCCCTCCATATCTATATTCCTTGGCATCCCAGCCTCTCCATTGCAACTGTTACTACAGATCTCATTTTACATTTAACTGTATAGTGTTTTAAATTGTTGCCTGTCTCTATAACTTAGCAATACTGAAGTCAGGGATCATGCTCTTCCTTCCACCTTTATTAACCTCAAACATCTACGTACCTGCCACAGAGTAGGTACACACACCCCATCTGTTGATTAAATGACAATAAATGAATGAATGTCCAAAGCACTTAAACATTGGCATGTGGCCACAGGACTGAGCATATGAGTAAGCACAAAACATCTCTTTGTGAACTCTACCAGCAGTTAGCATTTGTACTGGCCTAAATCCCTATGTAATCTCTGTCTTGCAAAAGCTTTCTGAAATGCTCTGGTAAACAGACAGACAGACAGACAGACACACACACACACACACACACACGCGTTTGCATGAGCACATGAGCATTCACACACACAGATATCAGTGTTTTGGGTGGTTAAGACTGCTACATTCAACAGTGATAAGTCAGGTTTTTAAAAAATAATTCTTCTTATTAAAAATCCCTGAGAGTTAAAGAACTACTCTGGACCACAATCCTGAAGAAAAAGTCCAAGTTAGGCAGGATTAGCTATGTCCCAAGATGCTAGGGGAAGATGGTGAAAACTCTAGCCCATGAATGCAAACAACAGATTTCTGATGATCAGTCATATTTTTTCTTCTGTCATTCTTTCAAAAAATGGTGGAAAAGTGCGCAAGTTTCACTTAACACGATGTAGCTACTATGTCCCTATAGGTTTTAATATGCATTTTTAGTTTTTTACTATTTGGCTATGTGCTATGTTTTAAAAAAATAATAACACCAGATTTTGCAGACAGAAAACTTATTTCCCCTTGGCTATTTGCCCTGAGTGTCCTTTCTAGTCCTTAGTCTTTTCAGATGAAAAATGGAATTAAATGTTAGCAAACTTCACTAAAAAATAAAAGAAATGGAATATAGAAAGTTTGTAGTTCTGTGCCTGTCCACAGAGTATGTGTTTGCTTCTCCTCTCTCTAGACCTGCTATGGGTAAAACTCCAGGGGTCACAATGGGAGCATCTAGTTTATCTAGGTAACTGTATGAGGTAATTATGCTAACAGCCATTTGTTTTAACTTAGAGAAGTTAAAGCAACTTTGAAAGGGACAAGGGTTTTATTTTCCTTTCTCAACAAGAAAGCAGCTTAATGTTTGCATTTGAAACATATAAAAATACATGTTTGATTATAAAACTTATCCTTGGATTTTGTGTTAAGCTGTGCTTTCACCAGGAAAAAATATTTTTTGAAAAATGAAAAAAGATAAGTAATATTTTTTCTGAGATTCTTTGTGTACACACATGCACACATACACACACACATGCACCCCGTTTCCCCCCTACCATTCTCCCTCTTCCCCAAAACATACCCTTCATTTTTATACTTCCTCAGAAGTAGAGAATGCAGTTGCTCTCAAAAACTCTAAGGAATGTATTAGTATTAGAGCTCCAGTTAAGTCTCGCCACTGCTTGGTCACAGGGCTTTTCATCCTGTCCAAAGCTGATTGAAGGTCTTGTAACATGTCTCTGTAGCTACTTCCATAGTGAGCACCCCAAGTATAGAGAAAATCGTAGGCAGGTTTCCACATTGTCTATAAAGAAAATAAATTAGACTGCAGTAGTTAGAAGAAAAACAGAGAGGAAAACAGATGTTTTAAAAAAAGTTTTAAAAGACTCTTAGGACATAAAAAGCTGGAATACCAATTATACATGGACTTACTTAATGTCACTGAAAACACGTTTTAATAGCTATCATGTCCATCGTGTCATTTCTACACCTAGAAATGTTAAAACTAATGACAAATAGGGCCCCCCTTTTTATGGATCCATCATCTAAACATTGCTCATTGCCTTGATATGAATATAAAATTCCTTTTGCAATTTTTTGGTGATAATGAGATGTTATCTACATGAACTTTTCACTCTCTGAGACACTTTTAAGGTAATAATAATGACTCTTTTATTTTAATAGTATCTGTGGTGAGCTTTATTATACCATATATCACAAGAAGGAGCTATACTGTATATTTAATGCTTTAAGTCATTTTATTTGAACAAGGAAAACAAGGAAAGAGGTACCTTCATGATCAAGTTTTAAAAGGAAAGTAAAAATACAGTTTTATAATTAGAAAATAATTTAATGAATCATTTTATAACCAAAAGAAAGATCAATAGTCAATGTTTTATTATGCTTTCCACAAGCATCTACCAATGACATCAGTGTTTCCATAGAAATAAATGTACGTCAAAGAGGAACTTCATGTTCGAGCATGTATGTAATGGTAACCAAGGCAACCAGGCTCAGAGAGAATAAAGACAAGGCCGACCAAAGAAGATAAATTGTAGGATAAACACACACACACACACACACACAACGAGCTTAAAATAAATTTTCTCTAAGAAAACGAAAAAATGAACCATGTACTTATAATTGGAATATTTGAAATATAAACTTTACTACCTGCTACTTATTTGGGTTCACTAAACTAATTCATTTGTGATTTTATCAATTGCAAAATGCAGAATCACAGACTGTGAGCTCAATATTATGCAGAGTTGCCCTCTTAAGATAGATCCTCCACTAACAGTAACAGCACATGCAGTAGGGCTTTGGAATGTAATTTTTCACCTCTGATAGCCTCATATACTCTACAACTGAAATTAAAAGAATGAAAGACCTAAAAAGGAGTTTCAATTCAATCTACATAAAAAGATAGGCATTGAACTCAAAGGATGGTTTGATGTTATTTGTCCAAATTGGCATTCCTGGAAGACATGAACACTCAAATCTTCATCTCTTTTGATGAAGCTTGATTCTACAAGGTATTGAATGGAAAATAATTATCCAAGTTCTGCCATATCCAGGAGGTCATAATGCATCATCCCAAATGATCCCGGATTTTTTTAAATATAAGCTTTACCCTCTCCAACCTGACTTACAAAGAGCTGTATCTTCCATCACTGGTAGACTATGAATGAGGTGTTTTCTTGTCTATTTTTCTGAATACTCACTTAGCAACCAAACCTCCCAATTGCTAGTCACCACTAATAGTTCAGCAATGGAAGATGAACTGAGGCATATTAACATAGGCTTTTTGCCAAATTCGATCTTGCCTGCCACTGCTCAGATGCAAAGACACACTAAACAAGTAGATTATTCTGTAGTGAGTATATATTAAACCTCTGTAAAAGCTTTGAGATCTGTATTTTATGTTGCATTCATTTAAAATTCCCTGATGCTCAACTAGTTGGTACATTATTTTTCAACTTGCCATATATTGTTTAAAATAATGATTTTTATAGCTAAAGCCTTCTCATAGGTTAAGTGTCCAACTGTTGATTTTGGCTCAGGTCATATCTCATGGTTCATGAGTTTGAGCCCTTCACTGGGCTCTGATAGTGTGGAGCCTTCTTGGATTCTCTCTCTCCTCGTCTCTTTGCTCCTCCCCTACTCACATGCACTCTCCTTCTCAAAATAAGTAGATAAATTTAAAAAGAAGAGATGTATTTGAATATATTTTATGATAAATAGCAACTGAGAGCATTTCAGTACCCAGATGATGGCATAGTATCACAAAAACCAGATGTCTCTTAAAATATCGTATCTGGGTAATTTTCAGTTTATGCACTATCTGTGCAGATTCAAAGTAACTTCATAGAGGCAGCCAAATGGTTCCACTGCCTTTCCATGCAGAGAACTCTGCATCACATATCTTGCTGCAGCACAGTGGATTGCTATGTATAGAAAAGCCCTAAAGCATACTCAATCATGCAGCAGTCCCCTGGTGCTGTTTGAAACAGGAAGCACACCAAGGTGATGCAGGAATTGGAAACTACAGATTCAGAAGTCCAATGATACATTTATCTACTCACTTATGCAGAGAGCTATATACCGCTCTCACATTTGGCAGTTTTCACTGACAGCAGAACATTTCAGTGAGCTCTTGAAATTCAGAGAAATTTGGATAGATTTATGAGTCCTAGACCCAAATTAAGGTATCTGATAGTCTGTAAAATGACTCTCCACAAGTACTCTGAATTAGTCAGAACTGCAAGGAGGGATATTGCTGTAAACTCATTGGGCATTCTCTGAAATATAATCCATAAGCTACATAGAAATGGATACAATAGCTTGTGGCTGAAAACACTAGGGCAATGGTAAACTTCATGATTTACACTAAAATGTGTATATATTGCATTCCATTTTTGTTTCTCTCTGCAGCAAACTAAGCCTGAATGTTCCTTCAGTGCAAAATCTGATCTACTGTATATAACATCATGTGTGGTTCTCCATATAGATGACAGAGAAAGACTATTGTAGCACAAATACAATGAATATATTCAAAACACATTGCTGTTCATTAATTATTTCACTTATTAAATTAAGAGTTTTTGAGTAGCTACCATGACAAAGAATTTTGTTACACAAAGGAATAAAATGATGAATATAGCATGATTTGTTTTTAGAAGGTTATAGCATAGAAGGGAAATAGATACTTGTTCAAACACTGGCCCAGTGTATAACTAGACAGCATTTGGTCATTACTAACAGTTAAAGAAAACTCAGAAATTACATTCATGTTTTCATTTAGTGTAATAAAAACTGATATAGTTCTTTGACTGAGAAGAAGTATGGTGTAATAGAAAGAAAGATAGGTTTTGGTGCCAGAGACCTGGGTTGCTATCTGAGTTACATTGCCTATTGGACGGGTCAGTTTGGGTAAATTAATCAAAGTATCTGAGTTTTGAATTTTTTAATCTTTAAAATATAGATAATAATTTAATGGGTCTGTGTTCAAAGCACCTCCTAACCTGTCTGGCATACAGTTTGCATTTAATACTTTTTAATAGGATATGAAGGAAAGTGGGTACTTTTGGGATGAGAGAAAGATAAGCAACCTAGTTTTAACCCTAATGCATATGATGTGAAGGCGTGAGTATCTCTGTCTCCAGTAAGACTTTGGAACAGAGAGATGACCTCCAGGAAGCAGCCAAGAGTTTAGCATCACTGACTCCAAAGTGATAAGGAAAAATGAGAGTAGAGGAAAAGGTCAAGGAAGAAAACTAAAGGATGAAAAATTTAACCCTCAATTAAGTCTACAATTAGGAACCACAAACAAGAAATAGAAGCAATAAGGGGTGTCTGGGTGGCTCAGTCAGTTGAGCAACCAATTCTTGATTTTGACTCGTGTAATGATCCCAGGGTCATGGGATCAAGTTCCCCATAGGGTTCCACTCTGAGTATGGAGCCTGTTTGGGATTCTCTCTCCCTATTTGTCTGCTCTTCCCTCATTTGTGCTGTCTCTCTCTCTCAAAAATAAACTTAAAAAAAAAATTCTCTCTCCCTCTGCTCCTCTCCGCTGCTTGCATGTGCATGTGCTCTCTCTCTAAAAAAAAAATAAATCTTTAGAGAAAAAGAAAAAAATAGAAGCAATAAGACAATGGAGAGAAAATGGTGTCAGTCATAGAAAATGAAGCAGGGATCTTCATGTTGCAAAAGTCAAGAAGTGAGAACATCCTAAAAAGGACATTCAGCTCACCCCAGCTTCTCCAGACCTGTTGTTCTTATAGCCTTCTAACTCCATGTTCAGTGACATCATGTTGGGAGGTTAAAATCATTGATGTTAGGAGTTTTTATACCATGGAAGATGGCAAAGGTGCAATTTAGGGCTTTTTTCTCCCTTGAAGAGCTATTAAATATCTGCCAGCATGTCACTCATTGAGGACATCCCCTCTCTGTTACCCCTCTGCTACCTCTAACATCAGATAATGTGGAAACATGAATCAAAACTGAGAACAATCCAGGATTATGGCATTATTAGGACTTCAGTAACCACGGTAGGCAGTTTCAAAAGAGTTGTAGAGGGCAGACTGCAGGTATGAGCAGGTGACAAGGAACTAGAAGCCATAGAAAAAGTGGGTCACATTTGGAATTTGAAAGTTAAAGAAAGAGAGACAAAGTTAGGAGGAGAAGCAGTGGAAAATATTTTTTTAAAGGAAAAAATCTGTAAAAGCTAATATTTTATAATTGAAAGGAGAGGTTGGTTTGAATCCTACCCTAGCCAGATGGAGAATTTAGGGTGGATGAAGATTAAGGAGGCAGCACATATAAAACACTCAGGAAGATAAGTTAACTTCCTTCAAGCAGAACACATAAACACATGCAAGTATTAAAATCATTATGGAGTTAGGGTAAGGGCAAATATCATGAATAATTGAGAATAAATAGGATTAAAAGCATATGATATAGTTATGTACTTGATACAAATGAAAAGTGTTAAACTAGGGTTTTTAAAAAATTTTTAAACATTTATTCATTTTTTGAGAGACAGAAAGACAGAGTGGGAGGTGGGGCAGAGAGAGAGGGAGACATAGAATCTGAAGCAGGCTCCAGGCTCTAAGCTGTCAGCACAGAGCCCAATGCAGGCCCAAACTCACGAAATGTGAGATCATGACCTGAGCCAAAGTCGGATGCTTTACCGACTGAAACACTCATGCACCTCTGGGCAACTAGGTTTTAAAACTATGTTTTATTAAAAGAAATAAACAAATCTCTGTCAGGTATGGTAAACAGAACTTTCTCTATATTGAT